GCACCTGTTTTTCTTGCAATGAATGAACTGATGGCAGTAAATGGAATATGTTTGTTTGAGATTTTCCCGTAACTTTTACCTTCTTTGCAGAGCTTAACAATCAGTTCTCTTTGTGAATTTGTTCTTTACCTCTTGCCATGATGAAAACCGCCTTGCACAAATACAAATTCCATAATATTCTATTTTAGTTAAGATAAAAATAACTATTGATAGCATTATTTGAACATTATGTAATATTCCACTTGAATAGTCGAGAGTATTAAAACAATTTAAAATTTTTTAAATTTAAAATTTGCATTGTACAAATATGTTTTTCACACATTAACATGCATGAATGAAATTTATTTCTATTAAATGAATTTGGTTATTATGCATATGTGTACATGTTAATTATATGAAAAGTATGTTTATTCATTAGTTGGAAATGCAATAAATTAAAAATTTCTGTTTACGAATATGTGTTTCCCACTGCATATATATATATATATATATATATATATATATATATATATATATATATATATATATATATATAATGAAATATCATAATTAAAATAATATTGATAAGCATGTCTTGTCACCTAATCAACTTGGGTGAGAGCAGTAATTTAAAATATTTTTTTCTTAGATATGCCGAATTTGTAACTTTCTGTACGTTTCCGTCTTCTCATTTACATAGACAATTTCAAGAAGGACGTGTAAAGTATGAGAATCGATAAAAAAAAACACATGGGAGGGTTTAGCAAAATCCAGGCCGAAATAGAAGTCAACGCAGTTCATAAAGATAAAAGTATTTTACACTGAATGACAGGAGCATGTTAATAATTTAAGGCAAAAATTAAAAGAAAACCATAAGACATACACGATTGTCAATAACGCTCATTATCACTATGCCTTCAGTGCAAGAAATAAATCAGGATTTATCTATGACTGTAAAGTTCGTGTTGTTGTAGTGAATAATGTGACATGAAAGCGCCTCTAGTTCAGTAAAATAAGTATAGTATGAATAAGGATTAAAGAGGAAATATGTGGTGTTATGAAGTGCATTCGATGTTTATTATCGTTTTGAGGAACTACGTCCAATGGCGGATCTATCATCCTAGCTACAACTTGACTGGGTAGTAGGAGTACAACTAAAACCGTATCGTGTAGAAATTCCAAGATTCAGTGGAACGCATGTTATTATGCATTTTGTTAATATTATGTCGATACAATTATAGTAAATCCGCACATATAAAATATAATGTGCATCCATGCATTGGAATCATTTCTGAAATATGCGAGAACGTTGTGGGAATAAGTTGCAAAATGCAGCCAAAATTTTCAGACTGTATTTCTGACTTGTTATAAATATGGGAAAAAGTCAAGATTCAACAATCTATAATTTTTAACTAATGAATTTCATTGAACCAGTTCAAGTCTTATTAAAGATATTAAATTTTGTATATATATTTCATGAAAGAATTTTGTATTACTAAGAAGCTTCACTGACCGTCCTAATAATATAATCTTCCTCTAGGCTAATCAAATTCGAATAATGAACTCAAGAATCATTCCATTTAATTGAATAGTATCATTTGACTAATTGGTCAGTAGACAACAAGGCTAATATTGTTCTGCTTTTATGCGTCATGTCCATTCAGTATGTGACCATCAGGACTCTCCACAACGTTCTGCCATTTCTAGCAGTTAGCATTGCTTGCATTTTTTGCTGTTCTTTCCATTCTTTGCATTGACATCGATTGGCGCAATATTTTTAGGTAGCATAATCGTTATCTGTCTATATCACTGAACTGCCATACGATCCGGCCGTTGTACGATCTGGCCTTTATGTCTATCTCTCTCTCTATGTATATATATATATGTCTATATCTCCGAGATGAGGTATTATGATTACTTGCATTATTTACATTATTTGGACTGTTATTCTCATCTTCATGGCCATATTCACAACGTTTCGGCCGTTCTACAAAGTGGCCTTTTTCCTCAAGTTCCCATGGCCCAGTGTATATAGACCTTGGTTAGATCTAATGACTAGACCCAAAGAGTTGTGAGTTCAATACCGCCCACAGCAGTGGTGAATGAAAAACTTGGAGAGTTGAGTTAAAATGAAATAATTGAAACATGCGGGTGATACTCGTGGAACTAGAACAATCTTCCCCGGTGGACGAAATAAAGGGTTTAATTCGATATTACTAACACCCTTGAAGAAAGCCGGAGCGTACAACGGCCGAAACGTTGTAGATATGCCGATGAAGATAAGTCAAACAGTTAGAATAATGTAAATAATGGTATTATTAAGGGTATTCGTTTTTTATCACTTTCCCTCAATCCTTCAATAAAATCCTCAAAGCTGTCGTCGATCACCGAAAGTAAGCAATGTCACTGCTGGTCAGTACCTAGATTGGTGACCGTTTAGGAATGACAAGTGCTTTAGACTTGGCTGTGTAGATGATGTAATGGATATCGATTCCTAAATGGAAATCGAATAGCCGAGATCCAATTTCAGTCGCGTTCGTTTTATTCACCGACGCGCAAATAACCTGGCGAAAGGTAAGTATTCAGATTTTCTCTCACAGGTATGAGTCAAAAAGTAGGAATTTCCTCAGTAGATAATTATCGCAAAATTTAAACAGATTTTATTGTTTTAAATATCCTCCAAATGATTGATAAATCGTAGAAAAAAAAACAAATCAGACCAAGTCCTCATTTCTCATTATTTTTCTGAAAAAAAATCTCCCCCTCTCTCTTTCTCTCTGATTCTACATATAAGCGTCTTTTTGATTTTAGTTTACATTAAATTTTTGCCATTGTTAATATGCTCCATTTTTAGTGTTCAAAACATTATTCTCTATAATCACGTCTCAATTATCTTTTATCTGCATTGTCCGGCATTTACTGCATTATCGGAAAATTGATATTATTTGTTTCTGCAACAGACTTTGTTTGTTCCTTAGTAAATTGGACTATTTTTAATATTTTTATAAGCAAGACACCTTTTCCTATTCTAATATATCTTGAGGTTCTGGTTTCACATTAATCCTCATCTACTTATACAAAGTTAGAGGTAATTAAATACCTGTAACTAAAATATGAGAATAAAGAATTTGCTTTTGCAATTTTAGATATGCATATTATTATTTGGATTTTATCTTACCGTATCAGAAAGTAACTCACCCCTCTGCATTGTTTTAACTTTTCAAGAGTCATGTCAGAGTAAAAATAATGTATTCCTGATATATCTTGGCTGATGCTATCCAGCCCTCACTTAACTTGCCTGACAGCGAAAACGTTTAAAATTTGAAGCATTTCTAGACTACTTCTTGAAAGACACAGCCTATTAAGACTATCACTTCTCTATCGGTTTTTCAAAATTTTCCCACCAGTTCCATTCTTTACTGACATCAGCTCCGACTTTTTCACATAATGTACTATGTCCTGGGTACACATGATTTCATTAGCCCTTTCTGGACGTGTTCCTTTGGCAAGAATGTGGCTCCACCAGTCGGAGGAAGGTATGCTTTCCAGTAGACTACAATCTTACCTTCTTCAAGTATAGACTCAGTATTTATATATCCACCAAATACCCACTATCTTCAATTTCTGTTTACACAATTTAGATCGTTCGGACCTTTGTCGTCGTATTTGTTGTCACATTCACGACGCTTCGGCCATTGTACGCTCCAACATTCTTTAGGTGTTATATGTTGGAATTTCGAACAGAAGCATTGCAGTTCACGGTGGTAGATTTTTCAAATTCCGCATAATATGATTTCTTTGGATATCTCAGTTTCAGTTTAGTCTTTTTAATTACTCAAGTTTTTTGTTTTCTCTGTTGTGGCCAGGTATTGAACAGCTCTTTGGATCATATCTCTTTTTGGATTATTCAACTAACGCTTTTATTCACTAGTTCATGTGTCCAAAGTATATCAGCTGAATAAAGTAGGACAGTACAACAATCGAAAGTTCGTGAATATGGCAAGAAAAATGACAGCTATCTAAATGATGAAAATGTGTAAATAGTTACTAATCTCAGAAATATATACAGATATCTTCAATTTCGTCTTCTTCTTACGTTTATATCACGCACGTCATTCAGTAAACCTCTTGGTCTTCGGTCTTGTATTATTTGCTCTTTAGCAAAAATAAACTTACTTGATCTTAGAAATAACTATGTTCCATAAAATTAGTCCTTATTTTTGTAAATCTTAGTTTAGGATCCATCTGAATAATTCAGAATTTAGCATTTTCTAAATTGCTTCCACATCTAATGAGAGATTCTCAATGTCGTCATAAAACCTCTCAGTTGCAGCTTTCTGTAAACATATATGTGCACAGGTGCCAATAGGCTGCAAACGACAGAAAAACGAAGTCAGATTCCAAGTCAATAAATTTTTCTAATAAACAACTTTAGTGCCGCTGCATTGACAGCCAAACTTATTCGACCAAAAATGGGAACAGCGAAACGCAAGGTTTGCTGATCAATAATCCTTCAGATGAATATAGGAAAACTGGCGTCTTTATTCTATTGCTCCTTCCATCTTACTCACCACCCCGACTGACGTCTACTCGTAGTTGATTCACGCCTCTAATATCCATTGCTTATTGCTACCTTTACTCTGTCTGTTCAGTCGAGACATTTATACGTCAGATTGTATGCAAATATGGAGGTAATTTCAAAACGTTTTATGATATCTCAACACTTCATCGAATCTGAGCTTCAAGGCTTGTCACAGTGAAACATGTATTGAAACAAATAAGAGTGCTGAAAAGCGGATTGAGAAATGTAGATATTACAAAATTTACAGGAACCAATAGATTAAAAGAGAATTGGAGTCGGCTTTATGAATTTGTTTGTTTGGTGACTGTATTTATTATTCTTTCCTACAAACATTTCCGATTTTTTATTTTCTTTCTATTTAAGAATATTGTTTTTTTCTTTGGTTCTTGTTGCTGGCGTTTTTTTTAAACTTCATGCGTTCTGTTTCATTGTTATTGGCATGTTAGATAACTTTCGTTATTTTTTCTTTCGTTCTTTCCTTCGAATTCACTATTTGATTGACTGTTTTCTTTTTAATTCTCATCACTTATACTGTTATGTGAATGTTCTTTATTTATTTACATCTTTTTTTTACAATTCTTCATTTCTTTGTCACTTCATAACATTTTATTATTACTTTGTCTATTAAATTTCTCTCGTTTTTTCATTCGATTTCATTATTTTCTATTTGACTATCTTTCTTTTTTAATACTTCCAAAAGTATTTTTCTTCAATATCTGTGTATATGTCTAAGATGAGTTATAATGATTACTTGCATTCTTTGGACTGTTATCCTCATCTTCATTGCCATATTCATAACGTTTCGGTCATCGTTCGCTTCGGCCTTCTTCAGGTGAGTGGAATTTCGAACCAAACACTTTATTTCGTCCACCGGGGTAGATTGTTTGTTCCACGCGCCATGCCTCTTCCAAATGCCTCAGTTATTTACGTTTAACTCAACTCTCAAAGACACATGACTCAGTGGATAATGACGTTTGTTATTATCCAGTGAGTAGACCAAATGAGGTGTGAATTAATTTGCCGGCAACAGCAATGGTTAACCAAGAGTTAATGAGAAATAACTGAGAGATCCTGATGAGGCATGACACGTGGAAATAGAACAGTCTACCCCGGTGGATGAAATAAAGGATTCGGTTCGAAATGCCAGTTACCTGAAGAGTGCCGGAATGTAAAACGGCCGAAACGTTGTGAATATGTCAATGAAGTTGATGATAAGAGTTCCAATAATGTAAATGATGCAAGCACTTTTCTTCAATTCTTCTATTTTGCTTTTGTATATTTGTTACAATATTGATTCTGGTCTTCTTTATTGTTTATTTTCCACTTCAAAAATGTTTTGTGATCAATTGGTTTATTTCTTTCTTTGGTTTTTGATTATAACATTTATTTTGGCATTAATAGATATTTTTCTTTTTGTCCTTTTCTTTTACTACCGCCATATGTCTTTCTTTTCTGACTGTTATTCAGATTACTTTCTTTTTTCGTATTTATAGATTTGTCCTTTTGGTTTGGATATTTATTGCTTTTTTTGTTGCCTTTATTCGTTAGGCTATTTTTGTTTTTCTTAATGATTTGCTTGATTCTGTCTTTCTTTCTTTGTTGATATTATTTCCGGCGAATTTTACGCAATTTTTCTTTCTTTTTTTTTTTCATTTTCTAAATAACTTACTTACTTTTCTCTCCCCCTCTCTCTCTCTCTCTTTATTTCCTACTCTTTTTGTGATCATACCAGTCGTTATGTTATATTTTCTTCATTCATTCCTTTTTATTTCTTATTCATTTCATTCATTCATCTTTTGTTTGCTCTTCATGATCTATCTGCCTGATGTCTCCCCTTCATTCATTCTTGTTTTGCGTTCCTTTTTCATCTCCATTTTCCTTCATTCACACCTTGCTTTCTTTTCTTTCTTTTTTATTAAATTACATTGCCACACATAAAACATTTTCGTTTCTTTTATTTATCATTAAGTTCTTCTTCCTTCCCAAAAAGTACTTTAGTCATCTTCTCGCATCACTTTTCCTTTGTGTCTTACCCTTCCTTGTATAATTCTATCTCTCATTTACACTTTCCTTTTGTTGTCCATTCCAATCATGCGAGTTGCGCATGTGAATATCTGGCAAAATGCGTCTTCATTTTATGATATTTTTTATTAACTTTTTTTTTATTAATATTTTCCTGTTTATTTTTGTCGTTTTTTGCTTCATGCTTTCAGTTTATTTAGACATTTGTAGACGATCTCAGTATTTGGCTGTTGTAGGTGCATGGCCAATAGTCATGTCTTTCTGCTGAAATGAACACTGGGCAAATAAACGACATTCAATTAAGAATTTATTGATGGGATGATAAAGATCGAAGCAGGTGCCGACATTTGGAAATCTCCGAGTTTATATAACGCTGCACCAATGGCAAAAGGAAATAACAACGCGTTACATCGATTATTACATTTGGACTAGACTTCATATATATATATATATATATATATATATATATATATATATATATATATATATATATATATATGGTATCTTTCTAAAAGCTTCATAAATATGACTGCAGACGTAAGGTTATACTGTACATTTCAGTGAACGTCTAAACGAAAAATATTATAATGTTTTTTTCTACATGGGATTTCATACACATTTATTCATGGTAAAATGCATATATGTATAGCACACACACACACATATATATATATATATATATATATATATATATATATATATATGTGTATATATATATATGTATGTATGTATATATATATGCGTGTGTGTGTGTGTGTGTATGTTAAAATGCTTGTGTGTGTGTGTGTGTGTTAAAATGATGTATCCGAGCATTCATGAAAAAGTAAATTTTAAAGAAGACATTGTCTGGTACAATTCCTGATGCAGATGTCATGTCTATGCGAAGATAGGCAGTTAATATTTAAGAATATGTTGTTACGTGCATAATCTCATAATAAACACTTAATTTCATATATATCAGAAAGCTGAAGGAAGTTGTATATATATATATATATATATATATATATATATATATATATATATATATATATATATATATATATATATATATATATATATATATATATATATATATATATATTGAGTATTTAGGCAGCAATCCTTCTTTTATGCAAATTTCATTACAAACTACTGACAAGGTGCTACGGCTGAATTTGTTATGTCATTTTTCATGTGTTCTCATAATTCTTTTCTTTTTAGGTCATAATTCATATAAAGAAAACCGTCCGAAAGTTTTATATATCCAAGGGCTTTCGGCTCTACTTTAACCATTATCAAGGATCAATTCCAATTTAATTTTAACTCAATTTATGTATTGGCTTATGAATGTATTTAGATTTATAAGAATATCTTATTTTTATTACTTGATATTTTTGAGTGTTGGCATTTTTCCATAATTTTAGCTTGTTTTTCAATTAGATTTTTATTATCAACGATTATGCTACAGATAGAGTTTAGTAGTGTGTATTTAAATGAGATAAAATTGAGCTATGCTCATAGAGATATAACGTCAGTCTTCTTGTTGAACTTGTTGCATATCCAATATAATTATTTATACATTTCGATTAATCAGGAACACAGTTCATTAATGGGCAAATAAATTCGTAAATAACATTGGTTCTTTATTTACATTATTCGGGCTATTGTCCTCATCTTTGTCGCTATATTTATTACAACGTTTCGGCCATTGTACGCTCCGGCCTTCTTCAGGTGGTTGGAATGTCGAACTCAACTCTTTATTTCGCTCACTCGGGTAGATTGTTCTAGTTCCACATGCCATATTTAATGAATTAATTATCAGTTATCTCCTGTTAATTTCCCTCTGAATGTTCTCCACTGCCTTGACCGGATACTGAACTCACACTCTTTGCGTTCTGTCACTGGATCTAACAAACGCCTTTATCCATTGTGCCAGAGACAAGGAACACCATTGGAAAATTCGTAAAATAAGAAATCAGCACATATGCTAGACCACAAAAATCTCCTGAGTCGACCAAGCATAGTAATGAATACAATATGCGAACCAGTAATAAGGATTGCCAGAGAAAAGCAATAATAACAAAAAAGTTGCAATGAAAAAAAAAACATGAAATGTTAACAGCAAAAATTGCAATATGAGCACTGCTAAAAATAGTTGCTGAGACATTAGTTTTATAATACCCAGAAATCCATCCACAGATGTCTTCAAGGACACATGACACATGCAAATAATGTACATAATGTCTTATCTCAGCGATACAGACAGATAACAATATGTTCTCTGTAATTTTGATCTTGCATGTTAATTATTATTTCAGACAATGCGTTTAGCAGTTTTAAAGTTTTCATAATAGATAATTAATTTAATTTTCTTGTTTTTGCCAACTGGAGTTGTGTATTTCTTTATAATGTTTCGAAGTGAAGATTCGTCTTGATTATAGTTACTATGCATTTGTTCTTTCGGAAAATGTTTTTATTTTGAAATATTGAATTTAATGTGGCACAAGGCCAAATGATGGGAGGTCCGTTGTCACTGACTATCCTACACCTAGTTAATATGGTTTACGTCCCACTCTTTCATTACAACTTACACATACACCACAAGAACGCATTCTTAATATTGCTGTCATCTAAGTATTTTGTAACAATTCTCATCGTGTGTCCTTGTCATGTTGGAAGGTCCAGTGAAGCCCCAAAGATCGTTTTCGTGCACGCTGTTTTATATTACATTAAGAATACTGCTATTTATCCATGCGACCCTGCACTTCCATTAGTTCTCCTGGCCCAGAGGCAGCAAAAGCTCCCCAGTGTAGAATGCTCCCACCACCGTGCTTTATTGTAAGGAGGATATTTGTTTCGTTTGTGAGCTTCATTCACTTTGCTTTATAATACATAACGGGTTTTATGGAATCCAAATAATTCTATTTTGGTTTCATCTAACCGTAAGACAGAGATCCAATATTTACTTCCATGTTCCGGATGTTTTCTAGCATAAGCTGATCTATATTTTAGGTATTTAGCTTTAAACAATGGAATTTTCTTTGGGCGACAAGTTCGAAGTCCTGCTCGATGAAAACATCTAGTGACTGTCTTCGTTGATATATTCACTCTGGTGTCTTTATAGCATTGACAATGTGCTTTGTCATAAAGTGAGGATTCTTTGAGAGATTTCTAACAATTATTGTTTTCATTCTCTCAGAAATAAATCATCCTCAATTTTCGATGATGTTTAGGTCAGCACTTTGTGCGGAGTACGCCAGTACTTTATTTTGGTATCATCTAAATATTTTGTAAGAATTTGTGCCTTGTGTTTCTACTTCGGCTCATTGTCTTGTTGGAACGTCCAGTGACGCCCCAAAGATAGCTTTCGTGAACTTTGTTTTACATTATTTTTAAGAATAACCAAATACTCCTCATCATTCATGACACTCTGTACTCTCACTAGTTCTCCGGTTTGAGAAGCAGGAAAAACTCCCCAGAACAGAATGGTCCCACCATGGCGCTAAATGGTAGGAAGTGTAGTTTTTGGTTTCTGAGCTTCATTCACTTTTCGCCATACATAACGGAAGTTCAGGTGACCAAATATTTTTAGTTTGGTTTCATCTAACCATAAGACATAAGAATTCCAATAAGAGTTCCAATATTTACTTCAATGTTCTAGATCGCTTCTAGCATGAGCTAATCTGCATTTTAGGCTTTTAGCCTTAAGCAAGGCAGTTTCTTGTGCGATGGAAGTATGTTCGTCGATACATTCAACCCTGATATATTTCATCATTAACAATTACTTTGTCGTTAAGTAAGGATTGTTCATCTCCAACAATCCTTACCTAACGACAAAAATTTCTTTTCCATTCTCTCAGAAATCAACATTCCTCTGCCAGTCCTTAATTTATTCTCAACACAATGAATCCGGTTGTATTTCTTGATGATTCTATGAATTGTCGATCTAGGAACATTTAAACGCTTGGAAACTGTTAAATATCCATTTTCTTGTTTGTACGAATCAATTATCTTCATTCGGATTTTTTTTTAGAAGGCCAGCAGATTTCGGCATTGTTGCAAAACGAATGAATTATCTTTGTACGTGGTACACATATATTGTCTTCTTCTTTACCTTCTAGAACTTTATAGAATCAGGTCAATATAGTTTCATATTGAAAGGGTATTTATAAGTAAAATTAACAAAAATAAAATTCCGTTACTATAGAGCAATATTATTTCATAATTTCCATAAGTGGACGGAGGCGAATAATTTTGGACTGCAGCACATTTTAGAAAAATCTATAACTATTAATATATTAGATCGAAACTTCTAAAAATGTCACAAATTATTCAAAACTAAATATGTAATCATCTGTTTATGGTAAATTCAATAAGTAATTGAAAGTATTCGCATTTCCTTTGAAAATATGCAAAGATTCAGTGGGTGTGAATAATTCTGTCCACACATATATATATATATATATATATATATATATATATATATATATATATATATATATATATATCTTCAATTACCAGCACTTCAAAGCCAAGACCCACCTTCGTCCGCAAATTATTCGTGATTTGTTGTTTGCTACTGATGCTGCTCTTATAGAAACATCCTTCGAGGAGGCCCAACATCTAATAAATCGTTTCTCTACTGCATTGAAAGCCTTTGGTTTTACACTTAGCATAAAGAAAGCTGAAGTAGTGTACCAACCTTGTTCTACTCCGAAGAAATTCTGTGGTGAGAAACAAAAACCACCAGTCAATAGATTTCTAGAGAGACCATTGGAAGTGGAAGACAAAGCCCTGATCTATGTAAAGTTTTTCACATATCTTGGAAGCAAAGTCAATTACAGTGGAACTTTAGATGATGAAATCATGCATCGGATTGCTAAGGCTACCAGTGCTTTCGGCAAGCTTCGCCATCGCTTGTGGAATGAGCGGGGAAT